TCTTATTCCTGCAGTAATGAATAACTAACAATAGTTTATTTAACAATTTTTCCTTTCTAAATAGTATGCACAGATAGAGAAATTCAGATGTGGTCTTTATGGAAACTTATCCACACATTTGTTCAGTGAAAATATATATATATATTTGCATATCACTCATTCCAAAATGTTACAAATGAAGTTTGCTTCAGGGGTGAAATTCTTCCCCCTGCCCAGCACCAGGTCTCTGCATTGCAAAACTCCAGTTCGAGCTGTATTTTGAGGACTCCTGTGCTGCACGGGCCTTGCACTGGCTCTCTACCAGGAAGCAAACTTCACCAGTGGGGATGTTTGAACTAGAAATGTAGATTTTTTTTTCTCCCCCATGAATGTTTGTACTTGCAAAGCGTGCGCAGCCAAACATTCATTTGGAGGCAAAACAGGGAAGTGCCGCAAATCTAGTCAAGTAAAACTCAGATTGAAGAACAATTTGATTATGTTTGAATTTACCACACAATTAACTCATCCCACATGCAAACAAATACTGCAGCAGTGCCACGGGCTCCTCGACAGCACGAACTTGCGGATGATGCCCAGCTAGTTGCTATAATTTCTTCTTACTAACTCCTTGCCAACTTGCTTGGTACCCTTGCTCTAGAGAACAGTCTGTCTGTGCTCCAGCCGGCTGCTCGCCGGGGTGCGCAACCCTCAGGAACGCGGCAGACGGGCCCGAACCCAAGTACCCAAGGGAAACCTGCCCTGGCCTTTGCCACACAAAACTGGGGAATCAGTTTGTCAGAAAGCACTGGGCATCCAGTTTTTTGGAAACCTGCCAACACTGAGATGTGTCTCAGACTGGGCAACCAAGAGAGCAGACCATTTTGCTGGGTTTTTTTAGTCATGTTTTTTCAAGCTGGGAGATACTGAGTCGAGGGAATCATAAAAGCAGGTTCTTAATGAGAAGACATAAGCCATGCTTGCTAGAGGAAAGCCTATGGGACTAAACTAAACAAGGCTGCTTTAAAAATGCTATATTTTTTATGCGTAACTTATACCCCTTCTAAGTTTTATAATCCCTTTAAAAACAGTGATACTAGAAAATAAATCCTCAGGTATATAAAGTAATGGGCTCAAGGGAGAAAATGAAGTGGATCAGAGATGAGGGAGTTAAGGGAGGAGAGGGATCTTGGAGGCAGCTATTGAGAAATTGAATTACTTTTTTAACAGGTAGCATATGTGTGAAAATATATCCATGCCAGAATGTCAGGCTAGTCTGAATTTGGTTTTTACCTAATAGTTGAATAGTTTTGAAGGCCAAAAGAGTCATGAAATCAGTTAAGCTGGCCTCCCATAATCAGTCAGGATATTTAACTGGAGCCCTCTTATACTAATCCAAATTTGTTATTTGGAAAGGCATTTACACACTTTACTCTGACTAGTAAACAAGGTGTTACTAGAAGTATTAAAATAAAGAAAAGCGATACACACCTGGAGCATCTATCCTGCAAACAAACAAACAAACAAACAAAGGTTAACAGTGTAGTTAAGAAATGTCAGACAGTTAACAAGTATGGAGCTTTTGACAAGTCAAGAATACTGTGCTTTCTTCTCTTCATTGGCAAGAAGGATCTGCTTCCCTGAGATCGAGGATTTGCTCGATTTGTTTGGTTTATGCTTTTGTTTTCACTGAATGCCTGCAGCACTTAATGCTGCTTCCAAGCAGCAAAAAGCCCTGAGTGTTACTCTAGCACTTCTCCAGAAAGTGATAATATTTTGAAAATTCCTATTAGTGATAGCCTGAGGGATTTATAAAATCTGGAAAATTGTATTTTCAAGCATTAGTCTCGTCTAATGCCATCCGCAGAGGAAGGTCTTGAATCTCCTGTATTCAGATAATAGCTTTTAAAATATGTGAAAGATTTAAGATGTATCGGAAAATATAAAAATTGCTTTTTAATGGGAGAACCTAAATGCCAATGAATCACTTGCTCTATTAATAAATAATAACAATAGCCAGGTTATATGCTGCTAAATTCACTTTTCATTTTTATCACAAATTGCTAAATTTCTTCCACATAGCATTTGAATTATAATCACAGTCATTCATAACCTCTTTTCTTTAAAAATGTACTATGCTTTCTGAATTTCAGTCCAACCTAAGGATACTTACAGAATACTCTTTTTTTGAACCCAAGAATAGCTTCATTTAAATTTCAGTTCACCCTTCCTTTGTGAAGTAAAATGTCATTTTTAGGCTCTCTGACTCAAGCCCCATAAAAGAAATCCCCATCCCTGGGGATCTGTACAGCTTCCCAGGAGGAAGCAGAGCTGTTCCAAGGTGCTTCCTTGGCTTTGGCTAAGCAAGAGTCATTAGAGCTACCATGAAGCTTTATGGACCAGACCCTTACAATGGGCTTGGGCAAAACTCCAAGAAATTTGCAGAATCTTGATCTGAATAAAGACTTTAGGTTTAGCATGAGTGCTTGAAAAGGGCTCTGAGATCCTTAGCTAAACAGAAGAACTATGCACGTGGTAACTACCGAGATAGGAAGCTCCCTTGCAGCCGGCACCCACGTGTGTTTGTATTTGTGCTTGGCACAGCTGGGCACTGATTCTGACCAGGCTTTACAGGTTTATCTGTCTTTATAGATAATTAATTCCACAGTTACCACCAGCTAGTGCTTTTGCCTAACATAAATTTAATACTTAAACTGCATAATTAGGGGAGAAAAAGGAAAAAAATTCCATGGACATTTTCTCCTTGATTTCATATCTCTAACACCAAATCTCATCGTAGCCAGTAATAGCACTTATTACAGCAAAGGACATACCACTACGAAATATTCAGAGCCTACAAAATATCCATTACCTCTCAAAAGCCTGAGCTATCTTTGCCGTTACCAGGTATTTGTAGGGAGGACTCACAGCGGAGCGTCGCCGGCTTTCCGTGCGGGAGGGCAGCGAGCGCGGAGGCTCCTCGCCAGCAGCAGCACCGCGTACCCCAGGAGCCCGAGGAGCAGCAGGCTGCCGAGGGTGACGACGAACGGCACGTACCACGCCGACTCCGAATAGAGGTTTTCCCTTCGCGTCACAAGAGTAAAGCCGGGCTTTTAAAGCAAAATAGGAGAAATGCCCTGATGCTGCGTGCTTGCAAGGTAGCGATACTGACGGTGCTGTTTGTCTTGCTTAGCTTAACTCCTGCAGGGCCAAGCTTCCCCCAGGGTGCTCTGGGTAGGAGGCAGATGGAGGCAGTGGGAGAGAGCAGCTCAGAGGCTGACTGAGACGGGCCGCCAGGCTCTGGGGCAATTGCTGGCAGGTGCAATGTAGCCCACCCACGATGTGAAAAGGAGGGATCTGACCAGGTTTCAATGTCTTATATAAAGCACGGGCGCTGTGGTGGTGTTTAAAAGCCTTCAGTTGCCTCAGAAGCTTGAGTGCACTGTCTGAGGAGAACGATGTTCAGGGAATATTGCCATTACTGAGTTAATGGTTTCTAGATACCTAAGGCAAAACTGGAAGTAGGTCATCTTCACTGCTGTGATCGTTCAGCTCCCTTTGTGAGAGGAGCTGAACCCTGAAGAATTGGGTTATTGTATAAAAATAATGAAAATCCTTTTCTTTTTTCCTCCCTGTGGCTTGTTCCAGAAGGGAGCACCAAGCTTCCTGAGCTCCCCCATTTCCCCATGTGCCAGGACACAGTGCTCTGAGCTGGCACGTCACTTGGAGCCAACAGCTCACTCATTAGGTCCCATCGTGACACTAGCTTCAACCAAGTCAGAAATGACTCGTTTACTCTACCTGGGTCAACACCTAGTATAGTATGTGTTACACTGCCAGTTTTCATCATCTGCCAAAGTTTTAATTTTATTTTCTATAAAACATTTGTAATTATACTGCATACAAAAAAATAGATTCTCTTTTTTCTCTCTCTAGTGATAACTTTGAACTAACTTGTATATTCAAGCAAAAAATCGGCAAGTAGGTGGGCTAGTTTTGACTGTGTCTTATATTGTTCTATTAGTAACTGTTAAAAGATAATATTTAGGATGAAGAGTGATCTACTGTCAGTCAGTAGTGCTGGGCACATCAAATCATTAAAGAAACTATAAATAATGTTATCATCACTCATGAGTGACTTTTGGTGATGGGGATCCTTCTTTATACCACCAGCCTTCCAGCATCCGTTTCACCAAGCCACACACTGAACACACATAACTAGTAGTGGGAGGAGCAGATGCTGTAATGAAAGTGCTCTTCTGGAAAGTAGTCTGAAAGTGGAGGCCTGATATCTCCAGGGAGGCAGATTTAAGGCTGTGGTGTGCGGTCTAGACTATACTGTGGCTGTGGTAAAGCAGAGGGAAGAAATACAGAGCAAGTTTTGTTAGCTTAAGTTTTTGTTCCCACATCAAGTAGGGGGAGGAAAAGGCCGTGAGAAAACCATTTATTCCTTCCCAGCAGAGCATTAGATAATAACAGGGTTATTCATCAGTCTTCAAATTCGGACTTAAGCATTTTCATAACAAAGCTTTCAGACTTTCATGTGCTCCATGTGCAGGATGCTCTGGCTCTGGCTTAGTTACAGGTAGTCCTTAGCAGATCAGATAGTTTTACAGTTAATAGCTCTTTTATCCCTTCACAAGCCTTGTTGTATTTTCACTCCTGCGTGTGAGGAAGAAAAGGCTAATGCCATCAGGCAGAAAATAAGGGGACTTTGGCAAGGGAAAGACTCTGTCCCACATCTGCGATGTTGCCCATCTTAAACTTCGGCAACACACTGGGGATGTGCAGAGCTACTTTAGTTCCTGGCAACCAGGTCAACGTTTTATGTTGGGGTGACCTCAGTGATGGAAAAATGTCCCTTCCAAGTGATTGGGATTTCCTCTTGTTCTTGTTGCTGCCTATTTTGACCTTGGCAGCTGCAGATTAATTTGTGTCCCACTCTAAGGAAACAAGTGGAAGTGCAAGGCAGTGGTAGTGACTAAGGTAGTGACTAGCTGAGAGTAAAAAACAGGCCCTGCAAAATGCGTGAGGTCATTATAATGTTCCAGGCAAGGTTGACCCCTACTCTGTCCTTACTAGATTCCCAAACCTTTAACTTTCCAAGCAAATGGTAATGGCAGATGTCTGCCCTTTGGATATTTGCCTTTTTGTTTTAAAAACTAAACTAAAACAAAAGATACATTGCAAGTCAATACCTGGGACCAATCCTTCACAACAGTGAACATGTTAATCACCATTAGCTTTACTGTAAGAGCACAGGGGTCAGCACTTCCCAGGACTATAGCAGTTTTTCTGTTTTCCTTTTACTGTGTCTACCCACCCTCTTTACTCCCAAAGAGAGAAACCCAGGAAACAAAAACAGATGAAGTTCAGTGAACTTACTGTAGTGGTAATAACAGTAGTTGGGTTTGGGATAACTCTGATGCTCAGAGTAACTGTACCAGTTTTAATCAAGTCTGTAGTTTTGTCCCTGGCAGACAGCAAATTGTCATCTGTTATATAGACACGCAGTCTGTAAATCCAGTGGGTATCGAAACCACTGTCATAGTCAAACCTAGATGCAAGAATCAACCGCGACGTGTTGGAACCAGCACTCGGTGAAAAGGTGAAATGATTGTTCACGTTGCCTGCAAACGGTAGCAAAAAAACAAAATTACATCACCAGAAGGAAGGAAGAACAAATAATTGCCTGAAACAAGCAAACAGATCATTTCCTATTGACAACTTGCTATGGATCACTTTGCATCTATGTGGTGAAATATCATTAACAAGAATGGCTTGATCTTCTTGAATACCATATCAAATAATAAAGTCATAAAACAGTCATAAAACTGCAGAACAGGAGACCTGTACAAGCCAGCAAACAGGGAATGATCAAGAGCTCTCCATGAGAAGTAGCACATAAACTGTGCTAGACTTTTAATTACAAATACAAACAAATCATCAGAATTCAAGAATTTTTGCATTTTTGTACTGTGACACAGTACCTTCATTAATGAAGTATCGGAAAGACCTGGGATCAGAATCGCGATCTTGACATACAATCCTGAATCCATTAATATTAGTCCCAACAGCCAAGCTAACTGGGATTTGAAATGAGTAGAAATTGGGTGAGCAAACTGGTTCTTCATCATTTACTTCCAAAACATTGACAGTTACCTGAAAGAAAAGAACAATAATCATCTGAAACACAATTCTGAATTGAGTTGGCTTCCATTGGCTGTTTGACTTTGCCCTTTTCATTCTTTTGACAAACAGATGTTGAAGATCAATAAAATTCCCTTCCAATCTGCTTTCTTTTTAACAGTAAATGTTGATGATTGTTTGATCTTCTTTTCATGTTGTCACCAGCACTCCTTTGGCAATAGGTTCCTTAACCTGAATCATGTCATAAGACCAAAGATCTTTTTCTGATTTGTCTGATGGTTTGAATTACCTGCGGTGTGTCATAGTAAGAATGAGAAATAGTAGTAGAATGTATTCATTAAGCTTTCTTTCAATGGCCTGAAATTGCTTCACAGTCATTAATTAGGCTTCTTAGCACATTTAATAATAATTAAGAGCATTATTCATGGAAGGAAGGAACACTGCCTGTAGATTGGCCCTTCCCAGTGAGATAGAAAGGATGTTCATGGCCTTCTGCAAGGCTACTGGTTGGAGTCAGTTGTGCTTCATGCCAGCTGGTGTTAGTCACCTGGTAGAAGGAGGCTCCCTTCTCACAAGCCTTTCCTCTAATCCTCGTAGATCTTTAATATACAAACAGATAAACTCATCATCCTTATGAGTTCCTGATGCTGCGTTTTCCATAATCACCTCCTTGAAACATTACAGGAGATAAAGAGATAAAGTATTTCTCTCCTAGCTTCTCGGTGGATGGTAATTGTCTGGAGTGAAAAAGTAAGCCCAGCTTCTGTATCCCATGGGATGGGATTTGGCAAAAAACAAGTGCAAGGCAGTGCATACGGAAAAGAAGTGAACCAGTAAAGTATGTGAAGAAGCTGGGGATTCTTCAGAAGGAATGACTGCAATTGCCTTTGTACACCACCTACAACTATTCTTCTAAACAGAAGAGCTCTAGGGAGCTTGAGCACTGCCACAGTGTTTAATGACACCGTGGTCCCTGGCATACAGTTGTCTTGCACCAGCTAGCACTGTCTGGGACAAAAGTAGGTGTCAGGGTCCACTCCTAGTAGAGATCATGGACAAGGCTGTCCCAGTCTGCCCCCCTCCATATATTATTCTGACAAAATACATGGCCTCAGGCCTGTACTTCAAGTATAGAGCACATTCCCTTTGTCTCACATCATGAAAACACATTTCTGGTGGGCTGCAGCACAGTCTTAACATTACTGCAGGTGTTTTGCTGTGAAAAAAAAGACACACACAAAATCATAAGGATGCTTAATAGCTATCTGAAGTCCAGAAAATACTCAGCACTAAGCATAGATGCAATTAGGCTGTGCCACTTGTCCTCAAGATCCTGTCCTTGTTCTATTTGCTGGCATATGTGGAGCCTTAGAGAATACCTTAAGTTGTCTAAGACACACACACACAGAAACAATTTTACTGTCCAGGTTAAAAAAAAAAGTCTGAAAGACAAAAACCACAGAGCTAAAAAATGAAATCCTTTAGTAAGAAATAAATCAAGACTGAATGAACACCACCTCTTTCATCTGAATAATATACAGCCCTGTGCAGGGATGAACTTGCCTTATACACACCAAAGTGCTTTGCCCAATGTCTTACTGTTCTTGGCAGGAAAAGAGAAAAAATGCAGATAAACGGGGAGAAGTAGAGTGGCTTTACTCACAGATACTGTTGCAGTTTTCTCTTGGTCTGAGGCCTGTACTGTGAGAAGGAATCTTTGAGTGGTTTCATAGTCTAATCTAGCTAAGATCTTCACATCTCCTTCAGTTGGATTGATCCAGAATATATTTGTGTAATCCTTGGTGCCCCCTCCAGCTACAATGGAATAAGTGATGACACTGGGTGGCCAGTCTTTGTCTTTGGCATTCACTTTTCCAATGCTGGATCCAGCTGAAAGGAACAAAATCCATATTTCATTAACATTTAAACCTATAAAAGGAAGTACAGAGTACTTGTTCATACCAAAGCCTGATGAAACTGTAACTAAGCATTTGTCTCAGTGTTTCCCACCAAAAAATGTAAAGCAAAAGTGTGAGAAATACTAGGTTATCACGCTATATTACAGTTCTCCCATGTATAGACTTGCCAGTTAGCAATAAATACCAAAATGTGGGGAGGCTGTGGAGAACCACAACAGAAGAGCTTTGACGGGGAGGACCACCCTGGAGCCCTGCACTGACATGCACTAATTACCGCCCAACGCTGGCTGGGGTGGGAGGAACAAGGTGCTTTCTTTTTGTCCACCTTGCAATGCAGCTGCCTCCCTTTCTTCCCAGGTGCTTAGAAGGCAGCTTGAATTACCTTCTTTGGGAGCATTTACAAAGCAAGTGGCAACAGACAGTGCTGTGCACTGGGAGGACTAAGATGGGACTGTGCTCACCATTCTGCAGACACTGATTTAACCCTAATTCCATTCATGTTGCCTGCAGATATTCAGAATATGTCAGTGCATGCAGAGCAGTGACTTAACAGGCGGGTGGTGGACAACACATCAACCAGCGCTGCATCCTTGTGTGACGGAGACCACATACTGGGTGGTATTAACAAGAGCATTTACAGTACTGCACGGGTGGTGGTGGTTCTCCTGTCTTCAGCACTCACAAGGTTGTATCTGAAAAACTGTGACCAGTTTGAGACCCTGAGCATAACAGACTTGAACAAACTGGAGAAGGGCCGGTGGAGGAGCAAGGAGATGGCAGGGACCAGGAGGAGAGGCTGGTGGAGTGGGGTTGTTCAGCCTGGAGAGGGGAAGGCAAAGGGGGATCTGATTGCTGCTCGGCACTGAAAGGTGATGCTAGAGGAGACTGAGACAGACTCGTCCCAGAAGTGAGCAGTTAAAGGACAACATGCAAGAGACAGGAACAATTTGCAACATGGAAATGTTGAATATAAGGAAAAGATCATTTGGAATGGGGGTTGTTGAACTGTGATAGGAGTTCAGAGAGGCTGAGGAGTCTCCATCCTGCAAGATTTTCAAAACTAATTGGATGAGGTTCTGAGCAACTCAGTCTAACTAAGCCCACTTTAAGGAGGTGCTGGATTTGAGACCTCCAGAGGTTACCTCTACCTGCATTTCTCTGTGATCCTAGGAAGTCTAGAATAAGTATCGAGAATTACTTGGCATTTTTCATATCTGAAGACCTGACTTTTTTTTCTAAGCCAACAGAAAAGACATGTAAGTCAGGTCCTGGGACAGAAGGCCTGTGTTTACTGTGCTGGATGGTATGAGGGGGAGGCCACAGCAAGATGATGACGCTGAGAACGATGCCCTTCCCGAGCCAAGTTCCTCTGAGCACCAAGCGGCGCAGAGCAGGCCAGCAGTCCCACTGGGCACACAGCTCTCACTGCGAAGGCGAGAAGCCACCACACCACCCTGCCAAGTCCTGAGATGTGGGACTCAGGAACAGGAAGGGCCACTCAGCCCAGGAGGTCCTCTCTCATCTGCACCACCACCTGTGGTGGCTTCTTTGCATCACTGCAATCCTTCTGAAAAGCTAATCTATCAAGAGTAGAAAGGTGGTCTGAAAAGCAGAAAGAAATCCGAGTTTGATTCCTGGCTCTGCCACAGATTTCTTGTGCAACTTGCTGGATTTGTCTGTGTCTCAGTTTGCATCTATACTACTGGAGTTGCTGACAGCCTTGTCTGTTCAGGGGTACTAGGTGGTTCCACAGTACAATCACAATCGAATTGGGACTTTGAGCCATTCTCCTCTTCCAATTAAATAAAAATGTATTTGGAGCAAAAATATACTTATCACCATGACATCATTATTTCTATCATGTAGCTGCTACTTACTGTACCTTTAGTAATTTCTGAAACATTAAATTCATACAGTAAACTACCAAAGACTGGAAAATATTCATTCACTGGCCTTATCCTGATGTAAATGTAGATGATATCTGGAAATATAAGAGAAGATTAAATCAGAGTTATGTGTGACTGTGAAATTTTCTCATGCATATATTCAAAATGCATATGTCATTCCTCTCTCTCCATGCTCTGGCAGCACAGGAAAATATCAAAAGTGTAAAGGGGATACTTGCTTGAGTAGTTAGGCCAGGCAATATCTTGTACCCTGACAGTCAAAGAAAACACTTCAGCTCCTAGATTAGTTGGGTTTTCTAAATCAATACTTTCCGTCATCTAAATTAAAAAAAAAAAAACACAGTTGTATTTATACTTCCTTACATAAATCACAATACACATGGTGTTGATTAGTTTTTCTCAGTGTTCTGTGAGTGGGATCTCCCTGTGAGTGGGGTATAGAATTGCCATATAGGAGTTACATAGGCTATTACTCAATTACAGGACATTGAATATCATGTTCACTCTTCGCTGTCTCTTGGCAATTCAAAACCAACTGCCTTTGCCAAGGAAATATCTGTTCCCCAAAGTGCAGGAAGTTGGACTGCCTGGAGCAAAAGGTCTTGGCCTTTTACCTGATGAATTCAAAGTGTTTGTAATAAATGGGCTGTTTCCGAGCCCTGTATTGACTCAACAAGAATCTGCTCTTGCCAAATAGTAGGAGTTGCTCCTTGACATCATGTTTGCAGACCTGCCTCAAAAGTGTCAGGTTCACCCACAAATGTTTATCCAGGAAAAAACTGTTACTGAACAGAGGCTCTCACAAATACTTAAACCCTAATTCCTTGGACTCTCTGGAGGAGGCCTGAAAATGCTGGTTTTCCAGGACTAAAGAATGTGCAGCCACAGCTTATAATCTAAAGGGGAATTCCAGGAGGGACATGACACTGCATTGCACAGACATGGCAATGAAAACAACACTCTCTGCAGCCACAAAAATGCTTGTTATATTGGTAGATGAAACTAAGGACAGTGGTCATTGACACTTATACTTCATATCAAAAATTAAAGAAAGATATCCAAAATCATTTTACCCATCCTGCAGCACTCTCATTTTTTAGATAGAATGCTTGTGTACTTGCTAGTGTGTGTAGTCTCTGTCCTGTTTTCTTTATTTGGCCACTGGTTTTGGTAAATCAACAAAACAACCACTATTGCATATGGACAGCAAGTGGTGGGAGCTCTGGCCACTGTAAATATATCAGCAGCTCTCAACATAAAGCACCCAATTTTTGATAAACAAAATGAGATGCAAATCCTACTCTGCTTTTATGAAAGTTTACCCATCTAAGTGCTTTTACGCTTCTGGTCAATCAATCTGGGAAATAATTACTCAGTCTGGGGTTTCTCGAGTGTTTTACTTCTTCATGCTGAATAGCATGGATCTTCAGTGGTCTACCTGAATAAAAGAGTATGAAATGGCATCAGTTTTCTCCGCTAATGTGTAAAAAGTTGGTTCTTCACACTCTCTAAAAAAGGGATTTTTGCCCAGATCTAACACTTAGATTAAGAACGAGAGAAAAAAAGCTCTCTGTTCACCAAATTCTCCAAAATCCATACAAAGCAGCCTGTCAAAAGGTATGTAGTTCTCATTCTGTCAAAGCTGTCATTTTCCACATCATACCATTAATTACACTAATTCCTTTTTTTCTTGAACAGATAATGAATTCAAAGTAAGAAAAGTCCTTAATAATATTTCAGAAGTTATCTCCTGAAATGAGACTATCTATCTAACACAAATCTATAAATGACTGACCACAAGTCTCCCAGACATGGAATCCAGAGCGAATTTATTGCTTCCCAAACCAGACAGTCCAGTGAAATTAATTAGATTGTTGGGTGGATCTACATCTGAATCTTTACAGAAATTTCTGAGATCCAGAAGAAGTGTCCCAGCAGTAGTATTTTCATTTATTTCTTCCCTGTTTAAAAGAAACATATTTCTCATCAGAGTTCTTTACATTTCTTCTCTTAAGCTGTTTATGTTTACAAATTATGTGTACAAATTACTAATTTGTATTTTTTAAAACCTTTAAAACACTCACTTCTTCAGGTATATGGCAATATTTTCTTTTTTTTCTTTTTTTTTCTTTTTTTTTCTCTTTCTCTTTTTAACTAATAGATGGGCCATTATGCTATTTTTTGAAACTAGTATTTCTGACCCTACAGGCCATGGGTGATTTCAGGCACATGTGTGAGGCATGTGATGGATTTGGGAAGAAAGGAGGAAGGTGTCAGTTTTATTTTTAATTTAGAGAATTATTATGAAAAGCTATAGAAGAACTGACTGAAATATCCTTAAGCTCTGATTTTGTTTCCCCTGTACAGTCCCTGTATGGCTAGTTCTTTACTATCTGATCACACTTTTTACTGAAGATCTTTGCTTCACTCAGATCATAATGTGAATGACGACTGGACGTTAAATAGACTCTTGTGTTTAGAGTCATGGATTTAGTATCTAAACAGTGCTCTGAAGAACTGCTGCTCCATAAAATTATGTGATATCAATGCAAGGCATTTAAATTAGCCACTGAGCAGGCAATTTAAATGGACAAACACTAACTTGAAATTCCTCTCTGGACAGGTCTGATGTGTTATGATACCGGTCTTGGCTTGAGACTCTGGATTCTCACCTGCAGGACCATCAAACTACCAAAAGTGCCCCTGAAATCTGTGAGGCCCCCCTGAATGCTTCGAACAGGACAATTTTGACATTGGTCTACCTGTTAAACGGGGATAATGGCACATCTCCCTGCCATACAACTTCAAATAAAAACTAGCTGATCATCCCAAGTGTCTCAGAGCACACACAGCCATAGCAAAGCCCATAGGTAAGTTACCATGTACAGAGAAGGCAGGAGGGTGTCTGGGCTCTGAAGACCTTACAGAATGCACTAGACAAGAAATGTGCAAATAAACGATAAGAGATTTAGAAAGAAAGTTCAAGAAACTTAAAATCCAGCTCCAGAACTGCCTGGCAAGCTTTCTGCAGGGAACAATTCCCCATTGCTTAGCAAGTAAGAAAGACGGAGCTTTGTATTGTATGGGTCACAACCCATGGCTCTGATATATTAAGGGATTTGGTACTTGAAGAGAAAGATAAAATATCTGACAATATACAGGTATTTCCAGCCCAAATTTTCAGTGCAGACAAGACAGAGATTTGAATCTTGTGCCCTAAGACGCTTATAGTGAGCACTAAGCTTTGAAGGCTCATGAGGAATGTCCCTTTGAACTTCTAGCTATAGGACTGGGGAGCTAACCCGTGTGCTCTGGGCTGGGCACTGCTTAGGGCGTCTGAGGCTGTTCGAAGGCAGTACCTGAAGGTAGAAGGTTTGCATTCGGGCAGGTTGTCGTTGATGTCTTCGATAACGATCGTGATTTCCATTTCGCTGGCCTGACCTCCGCTGGGGCTGTCCTCCACACGCACGATCACCGAGATATTGGGGTGAAGTGTCAGGGCTTCTCGGTTGATTCTCCTGGCCACCTGCACCACACCGCTCGCTAGGTAGACAGGAACCACATCTTAGATAGTCGCTCTCTGTGGGACCCTTGGGGACCTCAGCGGAGGGCTGGGAAGCCACTCGTATCTCCCATAAACCTACCAGAGCTCGCACTAAGCAGCCTTAACATAAGAGCATTTTTGGGAAGCAGCCACGGCACGCTCACCCCAGCTCAGCCTTGTTCTACAGGGCATCTTCCCTGAGCACTTTGTGTGCAGTGGGGTCAGGAGTTGCCCCCTGCCCCCTTCAGGAGAAGGTAACAGATGCCTGCTTGCACAAGGGACATCCCAGTGACACAGATTTCCCTGCCTCACCTCTTGGACCTGGACAGCCACATGTGCTTATCCAGGCAGGAGGGAGACAATGTGAGAGTCCTGTGGTCTAACTGCAGCTGTTGCAAGAGCCCCAGAACCATCTCTGCAATCCTCAGAGATTAAAAAAGAGTGACCTTATGTCTGCCAACAGGACTGCTGTCTTCCAGAAATAAGTCAATATTTATGAGTAAATCACCTTTGCTCTACCCTCTTCAGGGTATCTTGTTGAATCCTAGTCAGCTGACTGAAGAATTTTTCCCTAAGAAGCTACGTACTGAACATTTTCTTTCTGTAGGGATGGCCCCAGAAAAAAAAAAAAAGAAAAAAAAAAAGTAAGCTTGTGTAAAACTCTGGCAAAAGGTTTTTTTCCAACCCTGGAATGCTTGTTTGCAAGGTGTTAGAAGGCACATTTTTGTTCGTCTTACATGGATTTATGGAGAAGTACTCTTCAGAAGACTGGATACTGTAAAAAAGTCTGCTGGGAAACTCTTCTTCATCATCAGGGTCTTTAGCTGTTATATTGGCAACAACAGTGCCTGGGCTTTGCTCCTCCGGGATCTTGTAGATTCTTTGTTTTCTACAAAAGAAAAGAAAATTCAGCAAAGGACATGTGTGTGTTTGCAAGGGCTGCCAGGCCGAGGCATAGCTGAGTTGTAACAGCAGAGCCATGGCCATGCTCGGAGATGGCTCCAAAGCTAGTCACCTATCAGGGTAAATATCCAAGCCACTGGCTCTGCCAGCTGGATGTGGTCACAAACCATTACAGACATCCAAGCGAGTGTCCCTCCCTTTCCCTGTAGCCTTTTAATAGTAAAGGTGACTTGACGTTCACTGAATCATGGAAGATGGAAGGGGATGGTAAGCGTTTGGACACACAATCCTTCTCGCTACTGGGTCAAAGGCTTGCAAAGCCACTTCCTTTAATTCCATCATTTCGTAGGAAGAAAACAAAACAAAACAATACAAATCAGAAGCTGCAATGTGATTTTTTTTTTGAATGAACGATGTGGCAGTTTTGGAGGGACAACAGTATTACACTGCAAAATATAATATGCCCCCCCCCAAAACTCCTCACGTCTCTGAGTGCAGGGCAATATGGACAGACGCCTCCAACGGGCTCATCCGGATGAGGGACAGCCCAAGCTGACCTGCCCATAGGACCAGGTCTCCCAGCCTCTTGTCCTGTCCCCACTGCATCTCTTACAAAGAAGTAGAACATTTTCAAGCCCACCCCATAGCTGCACAGGAGAATGGGAGACTTCCCACACAGCCCTGTCTGAGCCGTGTCCCGTTGTCAATTTATCTGCAGCCTGGGGTGGTTCAAGCAGCTTTTCTAGACACGGCAGTGTAATGAGGAAGGAAGTATGCGTGTGTTTTCTTGACTTCTTTGTTTTCCACAGGCCAAAAGTTTTCCATTCATTTTACAGCCAGACTTTCAAAAAGCTGAATGCCAGTGCAGTGCTGTGAACACCAAAAACAGATGCGCTTGCATATACTATGGGAACAATTAAAAAGACCCCTTAAAACTTTGGTATTGAAAGCTTTGATCAGGAGAAAACACAGAAGGGTTGCTAACTTGTCAGGTTTCCCCCACTCCCATCACAGCACTAATTATTGGTGTCAGAAGATGCAGAGTCACAGCGTGCAGCGCACATTTTAGCAGGGGAGAGGGGATATGTGTGCATAGTGAGGACAGCCTAAGAAGTATAATCAAACCTCAAGCTCTTAACAAACTGTTTGAGCTTTCCTTTCCAGTCTGTAGTGTCAGTAGAAATCCTGACTCCCACAAGGGAGAAAATTTAAACAAATACCAGGCTTTATCTGTGCCACATAAGAACAGAGTCTTACACCTTAGATGTTATAGATGCTGAAGTCACGGCAGCTTTCACTGGCTTGAACAAGTAGATAAATATTTAAGAGCTTCTTTAGCATTCCAGATGGAAGCAGAAATAAACAGAAATGGCAACGTTTGGAGGAAATAATCAGTCTAGAATGTAATGTGAAAGTGTTGGCACCAGGGTGTGGATTCCTCCTGCTTGTATCAGTACAGTAACACGGAGCAAGTTGCTAACGTTTCCTTATTGATTATTCCACCCATGAATTTCGAACTAAATAAATCGCAAAAAAAAAAAAAATCTCTGTTTCTAATATTTCTGGGGTGCTTTCCCAGGCAAAATGGCCTGGGTGGTAGCATAGGTCTATTTCCCATTTTGCAAACTTTCAGTTGTATCCCTGGTTCCAACTAAAAGTCCATTAATCTCCAAGAGCTATTTCTGACTTGTGTGTTATGACACAACCATTTCCTGCTTATGACACTGTGAGAGGTGGGAATGTTTCGGAGATGACTGGAATTGTTTACAAGTCTAAGTGTCTGGGAAGAGGAGGAAAAGTCAGATCAAAAGTGAGACCTTTTTATGTCTAGACACTTCTGCATGAATAAGCATCATTATGGTGAAATGCACACATGCATGAAGGGCAAAATCTGTGTGATTGTATTCACAGAGAGTAAAATTCACCTCTTTGTCTGAACTTGTCCAAAGGTTTTTGCATAGCTTTAACCTACCTAAACACTAACAAGTGCAATAAACTTGATTGGCTTTTCTTGGCATGAGGGTTCACACTGGAAGACTAACAACTGTTTCTATAAAAAATGAGAATAAGCAAAGGAAATGAGGGCAAAACCTTCCAGCAGGACACTAAGAATCATAACAAAATGAAAATACTGTTTCCGGTAATACTATGTTGTTGTATTAGCTTACCTTTACATTACACATTGACACTAGTGCCAAAGCAGTAAAGCTGGAAAAATATCTATATTTGAAATAAAATGGAAGTTTTTCACTCACGTGATAAAGTAAGGTCTTTCATCATTGGTGTTAATGATATTTATATTCACTGTTTTAGTAGAGCGGAGTCCCTCCGGATCTGTCACGGTTATGTTTAAAAAGTAACTGATAAATAAAAAAGACAAAACAAGAATCACACAAGATCAACCTACATACCAAAACTCCCCTCTGCCTACAGTGAGCACACAGAAAGAGCAATGCATAAAATAAATTCTCACCTATGTGGATCTTTCTCATAATCAAATTCTCTTTCAGAAAAAATGGCTCCACTTTCGAAGACTGAGAAGGGCACTGATGCAGGGGCCAGTGAATACTGAAATTAAGAGAGCTACGATTTAATGTTTGTGTCTTTTTGTTTAAACATCCCTGCATTCATTCCTTGCCTTGAAGAATGGGCCAAGTTATAGCACAGGAGTTGTAACAAAACATTGCAGATAGAGCAAATGCCATCTGCAAAGAGAATTTTGTCCCCACGGCTCCTGGCGAGGCAGGGAGAGCTGTGCACAGGGCAGCCACAGTGCCCATAGAGTCTCACACGGGCAACATTGAGGGATCACCCACCATGCAAGCAGTCTGCAAGATCAGCTGAGCAGATCTGTCCACGTGATGCAACTTCTCTAGTGCTCCTTATGATTCCTGAGATTTGTTAAAGACTGAAAGGCCAGTGGAACTCGCTCTTGGTAATGAAGACCGTTGTTTCATGGTTCGACTGGACAAAGCCTAAGTAAGAACTTCCCGTGGTCTTCCACAGCACAAGAGCCCATGAAACCAAGTTACAAAACAATTCTTAGGTATGTAGTGCCTCTTTTGGCCTTTCTGCAAACTTATCACTTTCCAGAATTTTCTTCTTCCTACCAAGAGTATTTTCTGATCAACAAACACAATTTTTTAACTGTTAGTCACAGTTTGCCCTACGATTGCCAAAAAGCTGAAATTCATTTGTCTTGTAAGCAGTTTCCCTACTGTCTCATCTGAAAGAATGGTTGTTGCAACACAGAAGATTGAAAACTGCATTTATATTTAGTCACGCTCATGTACAAAAAATGTCTTGGAAGCCATTTGCAAAAACAGAGAGCCAATTTCTACCAAATCAGCTGTATCAACTGCCTTCACTATCCCTTAGTCCTGGGGTGATGAGAGCTTAAAATATAGTTCATGTGAGCTAGAGCTTAAAATATAGTTCATGTGAGCTGTTGAGGCATGGTTTTCTTGGTTTACTCTTGAAAATGCTTCTTTCTAACTGACTAAACCTTTTTTTGTGTTTGTGATAAGGAAGTTCATTGCTGAAAGCTGCCAGCTATGAGCATTTCAGATACGACGGATTACATTATCTCTTTTTTGTTTTCTTTAGCACAACTTACCTGGAGTTGAGCATCTTCGGGATCAGCTGCTTCAACTTGGTAAATAAATCCAGGTGGTGTTCTGCTTCCTTCCAAGATGTAGATCTCTACAGCTGCAGAAACAGAAATATAGTCAGGTAATTGAGTAAGAATGAAGAACAGGGAAGTAAACGTGCTGATACATCCAAGCTGTCCAGATGTATTATTGCCTGATGCGCAATCTCACTTCACAAGTGTAATTCCAAAATCGTCAGGGGAAAGAACACGAATACTCGAAAGACAAAAAGAGAGCAACTGTCTATGCACGAACAGGCGGTGGTCACTGGTAGCTGCATGACAGACCGTAAAGCCTGGTCATTAGGTGCAGCCTCCTGCAAGCTGCCCCCGAGGCATGCAGTAAAACAGCACCTATGGCCTGTGTACGCATCCACCATATGGATGTGGAGGAGGCAGCTCCCTGACAGCTCCCTCTCCCCAACGGAGAGCCCAGGACCTTTCCTCTTCTGTCCTGCTTTTCCCTTGTGCACAAGGTAAATAAATGGTAGATGGTCTGTGCTAACTTAAACCCTGCCTTGCTAAGGATGCTTACAGAGTGCCAAGGGCATTTCAATCTACAGGAGCACTCGGTGGGTCCGGGCTGTCCCGCACGGCGTCACTGGCCACGCGAGGGCTTCGGGCACAGCGCTGAGCGGAGCGTCAGCTCTTCGGATCGCATTATCTGCTCCGTGCCCTTTCACATCTGCTGGACCTGGTGTTTCCGGACTATTCATTCCCAGTGTGACCCCTGCCGAGTGCTGCTTCTCATCAGAGCAGTGGGGATCCCGAGCAGAGTAATGAGGATCCCCAGAGGACAACGATATGAGTATAAAGTTTAATGAGAGGGAGATGCTTCTTAATAGCCAGCGAATGCGCAATTAGTGTTTAATTGTAGCTGGTGCTGTTAACTAAAGCCATACAGTTAGACAGTTCAGACATGTGCGCTCACAAATTTATGGCAGCTCTGGCTGAGAATTAAGCTGATGCATTTATTTGTAACAAGCTCCCACGTAGAGGGTGTCTCATGCTGTGCCGATCCCCTGAAGTGTCACATTTAATTATTATTAGATTCCAGCAGCACCTATGATATGCAAGACACCAGCGACACTGAGAAGATGACACAGCCTTTCCCTTGGGGAAGCTAATTTGCTTTACAAACGAAGCTCCGCTGGGAAGCAGGAGCATCAGTGCTCTGTGCTCAAGAGGCCTTGGTTAAAGGGGCTGCACGGCCGGGCTCCCCGAGGGCCACGAGCCACAGCCCGCGATAATGCTGAGCTAGGCCCGATTGAACCGGCAGCCAGGTCAGCCCATGAGCCCATCGCAGTTCAGTATTTCCAGATAGAAAATAAATTTTGTTCTGAACATTGAATTATAGAATGCTCTTTTCTGTAATGCTGTTAGAATATTAGCAAGGACCTCAAGCCTGGTCTCAATACCTCATAAATAATGAGAGTATATTTTCACTCAGTGTCTTCAGATCATAAATAATGAGAGTATATTTTCACTTACTACCTGAACTGTATAGGCACAGGTAATAAATACCTCATTATATTCTGTTACCCCATGCTACAATTTTTTCAGGTCCTTCTCAGTAGTAAATGGAGAAGATAAGATTGCTCAAAGAGCAAGACAAATATTTGCTATGCTTTCTATTGGCACTGTAGTCTCCTGTATCATCTGCTGTACAGCCTGCAAACCTGGCACAGATGTCAGCCAGGGTCTGACACTTCGGCCTCGCTCCTGATGCTTACAGGGCCTCTTTGCTGTTGCACTCTCCCTGAATTTTTCCATTTTCACCATCATAAATCACAGCCTACGAGATCTTGCTTTTCAAATGGTTTTCCCACTTAATCCCTCATATGCAGAAATGCAATAAAGAGATGTAAAACATTGGCAAATGTACAGATGTAAAACATTGACAGGGCATTACTTTTACTGTTTCCCCCCCTCCAAAAAAATATTGCACATACATAAAATGCACTTTAAATCTATACTGCTTCTCCAAATTAGTCCAGTTTCCACGAAACTACTAAAACATGTACTCAGGCTTAGATGGTTTTATCTCTACCAATCCTCAGATTCCTAATGCCTACTTCTAGGGCACTTAATCTCATCAAAAAGAGAACATAAATATTTATTAGTGTAAATAACAGTTTTTTTTGCTGAAAATAATGAAAATAATGAAAAACAGTGTGCTGTTCCTCCCTCTTTTTACTAAGGGAAAATGTTTAGGCCACTTAACTATGAGCACTATGTGCAGTTACATTTTATCTCCAATATCATCTTTTCAAGTGCTGTTCTTCTCAAATACCAAATACTTACTTTGAATTGCCATATTTCCCTGAAATACAGGAGGTTCGTTTTTATCTTGTACTTGGACAGCCAGTGTGTTAAGGTCAGTTCTCCCACTTGTATCTTCCACAAAAATCTGTAAATCAAAACTCTTCGGCATAGTTTCATAATCTAGGACAGGGTTTCCAGTGGTAACAACCTGAAATGTAAAAAATTATTATTAGCACAGTATGCAGTGGATATAAGTTATAGGCTCTGTGAGTGAACACATGCAAATGGAGAGCTTCCTTCCACGAGTGGAGAGCAGTATCACAGACCATCTATTTGCCAGCACAGTTCTTGTCAAGGGCAGAAATGGCAGAAAAAAATGAATCGAAAGACCACAATTGTTGAGGTCAGGGACCTTTTGGGTAAGGAAAAGTCTGGGGAGGAAAAAGCCTAAAAAGATATATGCTCCCTCACAGACAAGGCTTTGCCCTCAAGCCCAGAGGGACGTCTTGTGCTCCCTGGCTCCAAGCTCGGTCCTCTCCCCACCAAGCTCCAGTCATGAGACTTCGGACCAGGGGAGAGACCTGCTCGGCACTAGGACAACTTCACTGTTCTGGAGGCAAGGCCTTGTCCTTCCGAGACCTGGAGCTTTTGGGATGTAGGATGAGTCCAGAGCAATGGCAGGACGTTGAAGCTGTGTGCCATGAACCTCACTGCTGCAGCTAATAAAGAAATCGGCCCTTCTTGTTCTTGGGCAGGAAAGGAAAAGGCGGCTCATAAAACTGCTATAAGCAAAAAACTTCTGAAGCTTGAAGCCCAAGAGCGGAGTGTTTTGGGACTTCAGTGGGGAAGCACTGGGGCCTGGAGCTCGTCAGTGTCGCCAGAGCTGTGCAGAATGGGGGAGTCTGAAGAGGATGTAGAAGGGAGACGATGAAATAAATCCTTGATTTTAGCTGCAATGTCGTGGCCAGCAGCCAGCAGAATCAGACAACAGAAGCCAAAACAGAGCTGATGAACGGAGACAGTTGGAAGAGAATGACTCGGGTCACACACTTTTTTGGTCTTCCGGTGTGTGAAATAGCTGATCTTTGGGACCCCGTGGATCTCTCTGTAACGGTATGCAAAGAGACAGCCACAATTTCCTGGATCGCCTCTCCCTGTCCTATACTGTGTGAATAGAAGTAGCCTTTAATAAAAATAAAATAATTAAAAAGCTCTTACAAAACTTGCAATGTGGATTGAGAGTGTTACTCTCCAAAATGAACATCTACTGGAGAACAGAATGCAGTAAACAGATGCAATTAATTCAGAATGAGAAACTGTCTGATTCCTAGCAGAAATGACGTACTCTGGAGACTACCCCTCCAATTCACAGCCAAGTGTTTTCACTAGAGCTTTAACTGCTGCCAGATTTCCTAAATCACATCTCCCACCCTCCTTTGCAGAGACCTTGCAAGAGAAGAAGTGAATCCAGATTTTCTCTTCTCTAGTCTGTGGGAATGGACCAGAGTTCCCGAACCTCCAGGCAAGAGCAATGCTTACTTCTCGAGGCAGCCCTGCAGGCACTTGAAGGAGCTGTAGACTTAGGGAGTTGAGAGTCACCTGGAACTATCTATCCCACCTGATGGGCAGGTCTCTTGCCCAGCTGGAGACTCACTAGTTGCAGGCAGCAGAGCCAGGGCTGCCTCAGTAGCAGCGTGATGGCAGCTCCAGACAGTGCAAAGTGTTCATACATCCAACATATCTTCTCTCCATTGGACTTTGAGATAAGAGTAAGGAGAGGAGGAACCAGCAGGGCTGAGCTCAGTGACTGGCTTTCTCAGAAATTCCAGAGCACATCAAGAAACACAGTATTTCCTAGGTTCATTGCCACAGGAAAAAAAATAGCCTTAGCAAACACAGAATATCCTGTGCTAACTTTGCTGATCCACAAATCCCCTAATTCCATACATAAAAGACTGTCTTCTTCTACATTGCAACAAGACTTAATAGCAATAGATAAAACTGAGGTATCTCATTACTGGATCACACTACTTTGACAAAACGTAGCACCAATCTGCTACAAAATAGCATAAATAATTAAAAGTAACAATGCTCATCAAATAAATGAATTAAGCACACTCACGAGGATTTATCCCTCAGCTGCAAAGTCACAGAATTTATATGTAGCTTTCACTGCAAGCTCCTCAAGATGGATCTGCACAGGGCTGACCTTTCCTCCCAGCTCTTTGAGCGCATTAGGAAATGCTGAGAACAGCCACAGCTCAAGTAAGGCACGCAAAGCCCCTGCAGACTGCTCCAGTACAGGGGCCACGGTCTGAAATGAAGGTAAACTGGAATTTTGGAAAAAAAGCAGTCTCCAGCCTACAGCTTTCTTGGCTACTCACTTTCATCCTTGTATCATTTTCTTAAATAAACAATCAAGGAGCCACTTTCTATCTATTTGCAAGCTCTTTTTCCTCCAGATTCATTTCTCAGTCCCGTTCACCAAGCAGCAACACAAATGCTTGTGTTGCACAGCCCAGAGAGGACACAGGGAGGAACAAGCAGCTAGCAAGAAGGTGGTGTAGAGGACTGTGTTTTGCAGCAGAAGGGACGGCTTTAATTCAAGATACCAAAATACAGCCTAGGATGAGAGTTCCACATTATGAATTTTCTAGCTTAACTTCACCATCTCAACCTGAGCCTGATCAAGTGTGTGTCCGGCCATGCTCCTACACTTGACAAGTGAGAAACATTTTTTGGAGACTTTTTTGACCAGGTCATTTCACTGATCTGCTTCAGAAAGCAGCTAAGCAAAGAGCTAAACAGCAGAGCTTTGGTAACCTGCTGGGTGGCAGAAGCACAGCTTGTACCAATGAGCCACCAAACCCTTGGCATCACAGTCCTACTACCTTCTACTTTGAGAAATGCTCTTCTCAAAGCATCAGCAAAGACAAAGCCAGAAGGGTCCTGTGGCAGGTCTATGATCAGACCTTCCTTGGGAACACCCACAGAAATTAATTCAAATTAGTTTTTAATCCACTACTCAGTGCCCAGCAATGTCTTCTAATGACACTCTTCAGTGTCACTGCTTAGGCTCAGACATATGAGCGAGTTACTAGCGGATGACAAGTTACCACACATTGACACTCAATGCAATGTAAAAGGCCACAGCTAACAGAAGTGGCTTTGCATTTGCTGTAGGAGAGCACACAAAAGGAGAGAAACCATTTTCTAGGTTCTAGATACCTACTTTTCCAGTAGGTTGTGGCATATGGAAGTGTAGCAGCTTGTTCCGTCATGACCACTTTCTTGTGTATCACAACCCTGATTCAGAAGGAAGTGTGGCTTTGATCTGACTCAGCTCACTCTGTTCTGGAAGAGAATCAAATCTACTTCATTTACAGAGGAGAGTGGCCAAACTGGACCTGCATGTGATTTTACTAATGCACTTTAAATGCACAGTTGCTTCACTTAAATTAACTCGAAACACTCTGCAGAATGTATGGCCTTCCTCCTGTATGGCCTTCCTCACCTCAGATATTCTAGAAAATCACATTTGCTATCACAGAAAAAATGCTGTTATGATGATCAGTGTTTTTGCCCAGATGTAATTAAAAATTGTAAGCTACAAGTGCTATTCATTTGCCATATCTATTAAAGCATGTCCAAATACTAGCACAGTCTGCTTTTGCAACTCTTTTTGATTAAAAGATGAGTCACTGTGTGCCATCAGTTCTCAATAAACCAGAAAACATCAGCACACATGATGGAACAGTGCTCAAACGAAACATAAAACTCACCCTGTATGCAAGGCCTCCTACGGGTATAATATCAAAGGCTTTTGTAAGTGGATTTGAATTTATTATGGTAGGATGTATTGCAACACCTTCAGAGGACAGTGGGGAAACAGTCACATTAAAGGTATAAACAGAAACACCAGCTGGTGAATTTTCTTCCACAGTGCTTGTTGTAGGTAAGCCCAGAAGCAGCTGGATTCTTCTTCCTGAAAGATGAAAATTAAGGTAAATTTACCCCAGGAACCTTCAGTTAACAGGAGCACACAGCTTGTGCCAAGAGCTGCCATCAATGAGCACAAAATGACCCGCTTCTCCCTTTGCTTATGCATGGTGGCATCATGCTCTAGCAAATCCAGTGCCAATGGCAAAGGAATCAACATTTTCTCTAATTCAGTCCCGTACTACTGACACCCACATGACTGATACCAACGTAGCATGTTCCCTCACTGTCTTTGGATATGCCTTCGTATTACTCTGTTTTACCCACAGACACTAAAATTAATGCCCCTATGCCCTAGTCACATCAAAAGGCACCTTGAATCCCATGGGTCAGGGTGGCTGAAGAAGTGATAGTTTTTATGAATTGTGGCATCTGCAGAGCCCATTTCCTCCCCTTTCCCTCTTCTTTTCCTTCCAGCATAGCTATATGCATGCCTTCTTCATGAGTAGCATGAGTTAGTGGCAGCTCTTGGGTTTGGGCTGTTGCATCTTCTGTTGTGAGCCTAGGAGAGAAGCAGTCCCTTCCTTGGAGCAGGGGCAGGCCAGGAAAGACCATGTGGTTCCAAAGTGCCCAGGGGCAGCACAGGAACATACCTCAGTATGAGAATACAACCCAACTGAATGAGTTGCCTGTGGGGCTTCACTATCTGTCCAAAAATGCTTGCCAAGAGAGGTGGCTGTGCTTAGTAGAACCTCCTACATGCTGTGAGCCAGGACTGAGGCAGATGCTGCTCATTGCAGGGCCAGGCCAGGCTGGCCACACACCACAAGTTCCTGCAGCAAAGGCAACCAGTGTCTTTACCTTTGCTGGGCACCTGCAAGGACAAGGTGCTGCTGGAACCAGCATGAGGCCATCAGGACTGCAGCATGTGTCCACGTGAACATCCAGGATGCTCAGTGCGGGGCTCAGAGACATAATGCCAATGGGGATATGTTTCTTTCCACTTCTTCTGGGCAGTAGGATAGACCCACTTCCCTCTCAGCTGGGGAAGGGTGACCCACATCAGCTACCAAAGAGCACTCCCTCACTGCCATCCCTCCAACAGCAGCAGCATCTTGCCATCTGCAAGGTAAGAGTCCAGTCCCAGGGCTTTTCGGTAAAGCCTTGGTGACTTTTGTGCCACTTTCTCCAGGATCTTGTTTTCTGCATCCTTAGCAAAATTTTGGAGTATTTTAGAAAGAAGATCACAAATGGCCTTTGTATGATAGATACTATTCCTATTAGCAAATTCCAAAATAATTGCTCCCCATAGGATCACAGAAGAGCTTGGATCACAGTACCTTTGCTGCATCAGAGAGCAAAACTAATTAACAGTGTATGAGTCAGTGAGAAAGCATGGAGCCCATGGTCCATTTCTTCTCCATCCCCTGCCAGGAAGCGCTGGTCCTTGCAAGGTTTTCTGGGGCACTTATAACAGTGCAACTCCCTCACACACACCTCAAGGTCCTCCTCTCACAGCCAGCAAGAATTCACACACTGAATATGGGGAGGAGAAGGAGGGACCATAGCGATCCTGGTTGTATAACCAGCTGTACTAGTCTGCAAAGCAAGATTTTGACTCTGGGGATACCCTTGGTCTCTTCAGCACCAAGCAACCCTGCAGCCTTGCCCAGGAGCTTCTCCACTGCTGCATGAGAGCTTCCATGACCCTGCTCCAGGCTGGATTGACTCTGGCATGTGAAAAAACATCTTTGAAGGTGACCTGCCAATGGTGAGGTACAGGCTGGGATGGCGGGGACGGTGAGATGGAAACCACCTTTACAGGGAGGTAAATCTGCCCAGGTCCCACTGGCACCTCCACAGGACTGATTCCAGCAGGGACATGACAGATCTGTGTCAGTGAAACTGACTGACAAGGAAGAGACTGAAAGGGACCCAGTGAAGGACGATGCTTACATTGATCTTCTTAAAGATACTGGAAAGCAACACCAGCAAAAATCACCCATGCAGATCAGACTGAACTGAGAAGTGCTTCTGGGGATGTATTTCCATAAGAAGTCCTGAACTTTTAATGTAGTCTTCTGTTGATACTACCAGCTGAACCCAGTTTTCTTAGTAAGCCACAGCTTGCTAATAAAATCATTTTAAAAAATCAATGAAATCATTTAAAACATTTTTTTTCTGAAGACCGCAGGAAGAAGAGCTCCTATTTTCACAAAACCTCTAGAGTTTTCTTTGGTTCTGTATTCAGGATTTTTTCTTTCTAAATCATAAATTCTTACTCCTTGCTCATTATTTTTAACTGAAATTTTCACTTTTGTCTATGAGGTTTCTTCTTCCAAATTATTTTCCAAAAGTCCACCCTCCATATTCACAAGTTCTTGGTTACTTCCTTACTTCAGAGAACAAAACATCCTCAAAGCAACTTAATACACTATTTACCAGAATTACCAACCCCAAATATTAACAAACCATTAGCCCAAGATAAAGAAATCATGGGACTGACTTTGAAGACTGTAGATACTTAAGATGTTATTTGACTGTGATGTGTTAGTCTCTGTTTGAGCTACGTCTTCAAGCTTTTCTCTCTCCGCTATTGTGCGAGTTAGAAGGACACTATTTTTGCAGGAGAGTTGATATTCACATGCAGCCTCCTGATAACAGTTTGGGGATAGCAGGGAATAAAACCAAATACTGAGGGCTTCCTGAGTGCTGGCAGAAATCTTTCAGTGCCTTGAAAACAATGTGACCTTACAAGCAATAGGAGGTGCTCCAAGTGCTAGTGAAGTTTGGAGACCTACTTGCAAAACTTCCTTTTTTTTTTGTACTGAGTGAAGATAATGGTACTTTCTTACTAATGTTCTCCACATTTTCTTTTGTCCAGTTGTTTGTTTTATTTCATCAAATATTAATGTTATTAATATTTGAAAGGAGAACAATAGAGTATTAATACTAGCACTGGTTTCTTGGAGGAGTGACCTCCTTTCCAACACTGCCATGCTGAGCAGTGCCTGCTGCTCACTTAAGAATGCCTCATCAAGCAAAGTGTCTTAAGGAGGGAGCCAATTCTCTTCTTCATTATACTGCTGTGACCACAGAATTCAAATCTATTTCAGTGAGAAAATAATTGTTACTTGATTTTTTTCCACCCATGTCTGATCTCTAAATATGTATTCTAAAGCTCCCAAGAGAAAGTGCAACAGCCAACAGTGCTCTAATTTTAGCAGTGTAATGAAATCATGTTCTTACCAGATATTATTCGCAGCAAAATGAAGAGAAGCAGCATGTTCTTCATTGTCCTTATGATCCTGTCCTTCATGTCTCCAGGATGCAAACTGAAGGAAGATCATGATATGTTTCCCCTATTTTACATCAGCTCCACCTGAATTCTTTCTTTATCATGTTGTTGCGTGAGAAAACAAACAAAGGACCTGTGTCTCTAAGGGAGTTTCGAAACACGGTCAGCTTGTTTGCTCGTCAGCTCCTTGTTGGCTCCATCCGCAGGCCCGAGACTTGAGAAGACAGTGTCATTAACAGTCCTTTTGCTGCAATCACCTTAGTTCTGAAGCTTTGTGAAAAGAATCTAGAGAGTTCCAAATTTGCAAATATAGTGTTGCTTTCATAGCTCTGGCAAATGAGGTGCTCTCTTTGCAGTCCAGGATGAAATACTCATGGTTTCTTTCTTATATCAAGAGACTGAAGTTTCCCCATATGCTCTGGTGTCAGAGAATTACTCAGGCTATACAAACTACGTACCTGGAGGTGAAATTGTAGCTGAAGTGTGTAATGAAGTTAGCTTTATTGTATTCAACTCAGGAACTCACTGCAGCCAACGGCGTGGACCACAACATAAAATGTACCACTCTCTTAGATTAGCTAGCCACAGGGTGCCCACACGACCCTTATTTTTCTTGTACCTAAGGGTAAGCATATCATTTTTCAGTAGAACTTAATAAGGATTGACATTAATAGTAAAACTGGATGCAGTACAGCATCATTTGCATCAGCTCACAGAATAATTTAGGTTGGAAGAGACCTGTGAAAGTCATGTAGCCAAACATCCTGCTCAAAGCAGGCTGAATTAGATCAAGCTGCTCAGGATATTTTTTTTCAGTTGTATCTTGAACTCCTGCACGCAACCTTTCACGTCTGCTAGGAGATAGGATTAACACAATTCTGACAACACCGCACTCCTGTGTGAGAAATGCTAGTATCTCTGCGCGGTCCTGCGTGTGACACCCTGTGGCTGTCACAATGACAGCTGCTGCCATTTCCGAGCTCTGTCCTGTGCTCCTAGGCTTTGCATAGGATAGGCCTGCTAATTAATCGGACATGCTGAACAGGAACAGCTATCCTAAGACTGGGACAGACGTTGCCTGTGCTGGCTGCCTATGCACCTTGAAACTGTAGTATAGCTTACCCTACTACAGTATGTCCTGGAGGATTTTATTAGTATAATGAAACTAACTACTTATAAGGCCTTATGTATATATCTGATACTAGCCTGAGGAATCAGTGGAAATACTCTTTTGATGTTTGACCTTCGTGTATTTCCGAGCACTTCCAGGGCCTTGCCAAAGGTAGGTGCAGCCTCAATCCAAGTGTGTTGCCACATCACATCACCTGCGAGCACACACTGCATCAGCCTCTAGTACCCGGGAAGCCAGACTTCCACTGCCCCAGGAAAGGGAAAGGCATGCCTAGGCTTCGCCAGTAAATAATATGGGAAAGCCCACCGTTAGAGGACTTGGGTGTACCGATTAGATACTGATGTAAATATGTTTATATTGGCAAAAAGTCTGGCCTTTCCCTTTAGTTACCAGGTTGTCACTGAGCCCTTCCTTCAGCATTTCCTGGTTCCATGAAGAAGTTTTCTATCTGAAAGGACATCCAACAAGGATGAAGCCTGCATGCAAAGACATGAGCTAGGCCTGTAAAATAAGCTTGCAATCTTTTACTAATTATCAAGATACTGTAAAACTGCTGCTGGCTAATATTTTCCCTCCTAGCTGCAATGTGCAGTCTATCTTCTGAAATAGCTAAGCC